CCAAGCAGACATAGCGTTGTTGTCACAGCTGAGTGATATAATAGGATGGCATCTAAGCACCTCCCTACCTGCACTACCTTTGTTTCAGCAGCTCTGTCTCCTAATAACCACGAAGCGCTGTGAATCTGTTTATTTTGTATCAAGTGGTGAGATTGAAAGAGGCTCCAGCTCTGACTGACATTTATGTCTTTTTGAAAAAAATGTAATCGTTTTTAAATGGGTGTATTGAGCCCTGGGGTGATGAAACTTCAGACAACGCTCAGACAATTCTACGTGCATTTGCAGTCCAAGAACTAAAAGAGGAATGTGGTTTACTTTGGCAGTGATACGCGGTAGATTATTAACTCTGCTGGCTCCTGCAGTACATTACATATTCTCTAATTGTTCTGTGTCAGTGTTCTAACAATAACATTGTAAAAACTACTCTTCTCTGAACTCCCAGGGGAGGCGCCACCCAGACGGGCCTCGCTCTCAAGTACGTGCTGAGGAAGGGTTTCCCGGGCGGTCGTAACTCCTCCACCGCGGCCCAGATCGCCATCCTCTTGACAGATGGGAGGTCTCAGGGCAACACGGTGCAGGCGGCTGCACAGCTCAAAGAGACGGGCGTGGTCTTGTTTGCCGTGGGCATTCGCTACCCAAAGTATGTTCTGTGGCTGGAAAACGATAATAGGTTAAACCACTACTTTTTGTTTGCAGTGCACTCTCTAAAAAAAAAAGGTTTTGTTTCCAAGGTGGGAAGAGCTACATGCTTTGGCCAGTGAGCCGATGGAGAGCCACGTGTTCTTCGCCGAGCATTTCGACGATGCTGTCAATGGCCTGTACACCACACTGAGCACCTTCTCTGTCTGCAACGCCACGCCTGCAGGTGGGATTCCTCTGCCACACAACAGCCCTCTCCCTTGCTAAACTTTTGTGTTTCTCTCCCTAACTAATTATTGTCCCCACCTAACTTCCCTCATGTCCCCACATGTCCCCACCCCAATCCTCATGTTCTGTTCCCTCAGGCTGTCAGGTGGAGTTGTTTCCCTGTGAGAGGAAAACACTGGAGACTGTGAAGGAGTTGCAGGGGAATTACATGTGTTGGAAAGGCTCCAAGGGGTATTCCCCATACACGTCTCTCTGTCCATACTACAGGCAAGTGTGCATAAATGCATGAATTTCGCAAATGGGCTTGTCTTCCTCACCTGAGGTCACAAAGTCTGAACTTTTACAAGAGAAAACCCAACTATTCACTGAAACTGGAGATTTTTTATAGCTTCAACTTCACATCAAAATCAAAATCCCTGACAATTTCGATATAATTGAATTATACGATTCTTGTAAATCACTACAGGAGATATTTGGTAGGAATGATGGACCCACATCAGCGTGAAACGAGAAAAATGCAACACTTGTTTTCACTGCTCAATGAACCACCAGGCTGTTAATGTGCTGTGTCAGTGTGAGGGTGTCAATGAAAACAAGTTGTAATTCTGTCACAACCTCCCAGGGCAGTTAAAATGTCCTTTGACTAAATTCATTTCACAGCACATTGCAACTTTACCACCATGAAATGGCCGAAGCCAATCGGAGCTCACAGTTTGACGAACCATCACAACTTTTCATTTAATCTTTCAAATCTTATGACTCATGAATACACTGAACTGTCCAGCAATTAGTTTTCAAAAAAAAAGCTGAATTTAAACTTTAAAGTTTTAGGTACAGCACAAAGTAGAACTGCTGCTTGTTCAATACTGTAAAACGGGTCCAAAGATTCAAATTAATCTTAGCTAACAAATTGCAATTTAAGTGAGATAGCTCGTTTGTACGTCACTTTGGACAAACACATCTGTCAAATGAATACATGTAAATATATAATGCCTTCCCTGTGTGTTGGAAGGCATATTTTGTAGCTTATTAACTCATAGGCAAGGCTCAATGTTTGTGTTTACGTCACAGAACTGTCAAAACAGGGCCAATATGAAAATGCTAATTTTCTTTTCTTTAGAGAAGAAGAAAAAAAGTAAGTTGTTCTTCGCAAAATACACATAATTGATTCAATTTCAACCTGACAAAACAAGTGAATTTTGTGTCAATCCAAATGTGTGTGCTGCAGGTACAACAAGGTTTACAAGAGACACCAGACAGTCTGCCATCGTACTCTCTGTCCAGGTAACAGCACACTGTTCTTTCTCTTTCTTTCTCTCTTTGAGATGACGTCTGTGTCACACCCTTCCATTCTCTCTCTCTTTCTCTCTCAACACGATACCGTAGATCCCTGCGACTCTCAGCCCTGTCTGAACGGTGGAACATGTGTGTCAGACGGTCAGGAGGGTTACCACTGCGTATGTCCACCTGGCTATGGAGGAGACCCACACTGTGGTCAGTACACTGTCTCTGTACTTACTGAGCTATTAGTGTCGCCCCACTGGCTGCATCCCATCTCTCACACTAACTTGACCCTCCTCAGCTCCTGCATTATCGCTGGACTGCTCCGTAGACCTGCTGTTCCTGATGGAGGGCTCGGCCACGCTCAACTTGGAAGGCTTTCTCCGCCTCAAGTCCTTCTTAAAGCACTTCCTGCGCACTGTGATCGGGTCCAGTAAAGTCGGCCTGGCAGTCTTCGGTGGAGAGACCCGAGTCGAGGTCCCGGTGGACAAGTTCAAAGGGGACCTGAAGGGTTTGCTTCGGGCTGTGGAGGCACTTCAACCAATCGGTGGCGAGACCCTGACAGGCCAGGCACTTCACTACGTCACACGTCAAGGCTTCGTGAGCGCGCCAGTCTTTGCTGACGTCACGGACGACCTGCCCCACGTGGTGGTGCTGCTCACTGCCACTCCTGCTGTCGACGAGGTGGTAGAGCCCTCTAAGTATGCACGAGACAGAGAGATCTTCCTGATAGGGGTGGGACCAGATTACCTCAGGGGACAACTGAATAATATCACAGGAAATCCCCAGAGGACTATCACCTACACACCACCTGAGTTCAGTGCTAAGATCCCTGAGCTCAAGGCTAAGATCTGCAGTGTGGATACACAAGGTACTGACTGATTGACTGACCACTTGCTACCTCATACAATATCCAAATTGTCATTAGGATCCAGTTGTTCCAAATGTATCATTATGTAATCATAAATCCATTAAAAATCATTTGATCAGCACTTCTTAGAAAACCTATGCATCTTTAAATCTCCCTTATCTGGCTCATATTCGATTAATAAACCATCCAGAGTTAAGTCATGATTTGTATGTTTTATTTGGTACTAATTATCAACATTAACAACATTATTCTTTGTCTTTTTTTGTTTTCAGGTTGTCTTGGCCAAGCAGTGGACCTGGTGTTTGCCCTGGATGCCTCAGGTGGTGTCAGCCCTGATAACTTCGCCATCCTGCGCAACTTTGTTCGCATTCTCACCGTCCAGTTCGACATCAACCGAGACGTGGCCCAAGTGGCACTTGTGGCCTACAATCGGAGAGCCACCACCGTCTTCAACCTTGACACCCATGAGACCGGTTCCGCCATCCTCAAGGCTGTGGACGGCGCCAACTACATGGGTGGAGTGGCTTCAACTGGCGCGGCTCTACTTCACATCCACTCCAACGTCCTGACGGTGGCCAAAGGCGCCCGGCCCGGAGTCAACAAGGCTGTCGTGGTGATGACAGACGGTTCAGGCGGGGACGACGCTGCTGTTCCAGCTCAGAAGATAAGAGATAACGGAGTTTCAGTGTTTGTGATTGGAATCGGGGATATACAGAAAGAGAGGCTGGTGCAGATTGCTGGTTCAGAGGAACACATGATTGCGGTGTCGTCTTATGAGGATCTCAAGTATTTTGAGGATGTGCTGGTGCAGATGTTGTGTTCAGGTGAGAATAATAAAGGGAAAGCACCAAACCTTTTCAGGGCAGCTTGTTGACTCCTGTTCTGTGGATATAGGAGGAAGTGGTTGAGATTAAGAAAAAGATGGGAAATGCTCAGGGACCTGGGCAAAATATGAATTTGTGAATGTTATGGTGACAGGCTGATTTATGATACATTTCTTTCTATTAGAGGTTAAAAAGCCGGTAAACCTGTGCAAGCCCAACCCATGTATGAATGATGGGACCTGCATTCTGTCTGGAGGCAGCTTCCGCTGTCAGTGCGACGGCTATGAAGGACCACACTGTGAAAGAAGTCAGTGGCATTAATGAGTCTTCTTTCCTTCTTTCCTTAGTTCACTCCTTAGCTTCCACCTTCCTGCCTTCCTTTTATGATAATTTCACAGGTCTGGTGGTCTGAGCTTTCTTGGTACTTGCACAACAAGACGATGTTTTAAAGTTGGGATTGCCACTGTCACAGCTGCCGAAAAGTCCTTGCAGTAACAGCCTTATTTGCATGTGCATATGAGTTTTTCTGTGGTTTGTCCGTAGGAAGCAGCAGGCCTTCATCCAGAGGAGATCTCCCGAGGCCTGCTGGTCTCAGGAAGAAGAGCAGGCAGAAGAAGAGTCACCAGGAGCTCCTGCATCGCTACAAACTGCACCACAGGAGACATGCTGCCTGATAAACACACATACTATTCACAGAAACAAGGACCCCTAAGGACCAAGGATGTTTGCGGGTTCACAATGGAGTAAAGGGAAAACGAATTTTACTGTTTCAATATTTAAACTTGCACTCAAACTTAAACAAGTGCCTTCAAACTGTATGCATTTCTACTTTGTGTCCTAGTTTGTCACTGTATTCACTGTTGTGCAATTGTTGCAATACGGTTCTGTTGTCTATTCAAAGATGTAAACTTTTATATTATATTATAGTGTATATCTGTGTCATGGTTTTATTATTTCCATTGAATAATCCCCAAAACGCTCAATATCAAATGCTCTTCTTTATGTTTCAATACATCTTTTTTTACAATAGGCCTCCTCAACTGATTGAAGTTTAAAAGATGATTGTTTGCTCTCACTAATGAACACAATTTTATAATTTTTGTATTACAAATATTTTTTAAATATATGTATATATATGTATTTCTTGCTTAGTTAGCACTATAGTATATTACACTTACTATATATCACTTTGTATTTAACTTACTCTGTACTTTACTACTATCACTTCTGGGGGAAAGAAACCAAATTTCTATAAACTATGATTTGTCCATCCAGCTTTAGTAAAAACAATCTGAAGTCAGAAGTCAGAAGTGACTGAGTTGACTCTGTTTACCTACACTGAACCTTGGTCCATTTGCAACAGACAGGCTGGACTGACAGATGTAACATGAAAGGCAAAAGGAGACATTTGTATAAACAAATTTCAAGCCAGTATTGTTGTCAGTACATTTTTATTTGAATAAAAAGTGCATTTTTAGCTAGCAATACAACCAAATGAGGCTGAATAATGGTGTAAATATATTTACATCTTGGCTACCAGCATATATGAACCAAGCTACAATCTGGATTGTACAAAATTTAGTTGAGGGGTGTCTTTCTGTCATCAAGATCAATTGTTAGACTGGCCAAAATGCTACTACATCAATGTCCTCCCTTTAGCAAGTGGAGAGAAACAACTACGATCATCCAGGGGTGTTTGAGAAGATAGCTTGTGCATCTCTCTGATTGGCCTTTTATAGCCTTGGCAAAGAGGCTGATGAGGATGAGTGAGAACACTGATTTGTCTGTCTGGCCTGTGAACATGGCGGTTCCTGGTGCGGACAGCAGACCACACCAAAATAAATTTGTGGATTTGAGAGGTCAAAGGGCATCCAGGTTTCCCTCTAGGAGGTGGATTTCTTCTCCCACTCCTGTTTATACAAAAAAAGGATGAAATTGAGGTATTCTGACAGTATAAAGTAGATACAATAATAACTATACCTGCTGAAATACACATTTGTGTGCTGCGTGGAACTGAAATATCTTGTTCCACTGATGCACGTGTGTTTTTTTTACACTCACCTTAGCCTTCTGCAGGACTTTGCCTTTGGTGGCCATGATGGAGACAGGTCTGTTCTTTAGCACAGAGGCAGAGTTGACTGGGTCTGCACTGATGCTGCTGTTGTAGGGTTGGGAGGATGATGATGATGATGATGATGTTGATGAAGATGTCTGGGGAGCAGGCAGGGTTGCTGCTTTAGGCTGAAGGTAAAATGGTAGAGGAGTTGTTAGAGAGTGACTAGAGAGAGTGAAAAGCTTGTGATCAACTTCCTGAGTTCCCCCCTGATGACCTGCACACTAACCGTTTGTGTGTCCTGGAGGCTGCTGTCCAGTGTGGTTCCCAGTGTGAAAGGCCCCGACTCCACCTTCTTCAGACTTTCCTTCACCTCCACCAGTCGTAGCTCCACCTCTACCCTACGGTGCTCCGCGTCCCGACACGCCTCCTCCCTCTGCTTCAAACAGGCTTCTAATGAGGCCTGCTGCTTGGGGTCTGAGGAGGATAGCAGACAGCTGTCAGCCACACAGATCACTGTGAACCTTCGGCAGTGTCACAGGAAGAACAACCGACGTACCTTGGCAGGCACTGAGCTCCTCTTTGGTCTCCCTCCTCTCCTTCTTCAGGTTTGACAGGCTGCTCCTCACCTCCTCCCTCTCTCTCTCCAGACGGTCGCGCTCGTCGATGTAGCGGTGCACGTCCGCCTCTGTGCGGTTCTTGCCCAGTTTCACTTCGACTGCACCGGGACACCCTGGGAATTAAAGATTGAAAATACATCCTATATTTATCATGACATTTGCTGAAAATTGCAAAGGGAAATAAAAAGATGCATTCATTATGAAAAGAAAAGAAATCCGGTTTCACTGTAATATAAGTCTGCATTCCACTGTGAAGCTGTGCATTTGACTGTAGGGGATGCAGTGTTTCACTAGAGGGAGCTGTGGTTATGTAAGATTACAGAGGAAGGGAAGTAGTTAACAATAAAAGCAACATTTACTCACTGAAAAATATTGTCAGACCATTTTCCCCCTCATGTTAAACTTTACTTTCTAAATATCTGAAATAAGTGTGTATGTGAAGGTGGTGATAGTGATACAGATGAAGCATTTCTGTCCTCACCCATGGTATGTGCCTTGGGCCGCAGGGGGTGAGGACTGTGAGGGAGCCCAGCAGAACCCGAGGGGCCTTTATTGATCTGGCCCCCGGAGGAGCTGAAGGCCTGTGGGATTCCCACACTCGTCCTCTTGGGGGTCTCCTGGCTTTGGGATAAGGTCTTGACTGGTTGGGTTTGGGGCTGTGGTGGAGTGGGAGTCAGGGGGTTCTCTTGTTCTGGTTTGCTGGTAACAGACTGCGAACTTGTTCCATTTGACACAGGTGTTGCCTCAGTACGGTTAGTTGAAATGACCTGGAAATTGAGGCATAAAATATAGAATTAAAGCACAAAATATAAGATATAAATGCCATGCAAGTAGAATGTAATCGCTATTTATTGTAAATACAGCAAATAAGTCCCTATTACCAACCTCTTTCATTTGAGATGAGGGGTCCTTCTCCTCCTCTACCGGGACTGGGGAATGTCTAGAAGTTTCTTTGGCAGGGGTTTTACTCCCACCGGACGTATGGAGGAAGGAGCGTACAGGGATTAGGTCCAGGTAAACCCTGTTGTCAGTGTCCTGTTCTGTTCCCACTGAGTCCTTGGTGTCTTGTGCGCATGTGTTGTTATGTTCCTGAGGATTGTTGTCCTCACTGTCTAGCAGGCCGCTCTCTTCAGCATCCTGTGTTGCAAAAGAGGAGGAAGTGAGTGATGAGATGGGAAGTGGCCAGATTTGGGTGAGTCCATGTAAAAATGAAACAGAAATTGACAATTGATTCGAAAACAACACAGGTTTTTATTCCAAAAAACCAAATACCACCCCAGATGATTTTACTGATTGTTCTTCTCTGTTTGAATCAATCGACATGGATGCTGAAGTAAGGATCTGCAAATTTGTTACCTGCCAGCCTATTTCTTATCATTCAATATAAACTACACAATTAAACAGCAGCTTTTCCCAAAGCTAAACAGTTGTACAAGAGTACTGTATTGATATCGGAAGAATATCTCAGTTGTTTGGTTCCAGATAACATACCTCTGGATCAGCTATAGACGCCACATCGTCATACAGTTCATCAGAGTTGTGAGCGACGGAGGGTGGGGTGTCTATGTAGGTGTTTGGCTCTGAATACCTCCTCTGCATCAAGCTAGAGAGACAAATACACAGATAGGTCCCAATTGAATACTGTGCCAAAGTATGCATACACCTTAAAATGGACAGATGTGAGCATCTTACTATAAGGAAGTCTTGGCAGCATTGACGATGCTGGAGATCCTCTCAGCGTTGACGTAGTCGTATGTGAGCTCCTCGGGGTCCGTCTTGCTCCCCGTCTGTGACAGCAAGAGGCCCAGCCAATGGCCCATGTCTGCTGATGTCTTCGCCTGAGAGAGGAGAGGAGAGAGTATGCCAAAGTGCATTCAGTACAAACTGTGCACTTGCATCATCATGAGTTTGAAACCAGCTCATGGTTTATGATGCATACCATCTGTCACTATGTATTGATGCAATTACTTCCAAAATTACTATTTTGGGGGATTCAAACAGCTCATCTACTGGAACTGTATGAAGTAACACATGTTGGTTTGGCGCATATTTCTGTAATTAAAACAGGTGATAACCTTGTTTTTTGTTTGTTTTGGTAAATACTGCACCGAAGAACCATAAATGTGTCGGAGCCCTTAAGACTAAACATTGAATTCCATTGCTTATGACCAACTATACACTTTAGCAGGGTGGTACTGGAAACCTAATGCAAAAGGGTGTAACATTAGTCCCCACAATCCCAGTACATCCACACCCTTCACACACACACACAAACACACACACATATGGACACAAACATGCAGACCACCCTTGCGTGCTCACATACAGTATATTACACCGGCTAAGATGGATGTCAGCAGAACGTGATGTCCAAATGACGACATGTTAGTGTTTCCTATAAGAAGCTGTACTCCATTTCTCTTTTCGAGAGATGCTGACGTTTCTTTTCTCTCCAGACACGTTCGACTCCTGGTTATTTCTCAGATCAACAGCGTCCTCGCCTGCAGAGTAACGCTGAAGTAAGCTCTCATCGGAGACAAACAGTTGACGCATTGCAAGCTCCGCCACGTCGTGTGGATGGATGAAAGCAGAGTGGGTTATTTTGGCATTATGCTTTTATATTTGCTTCTGCTAACATTAGATATTTACACAGCTAAAGGCCGTGTTTACTAGAACGAAAAGTAGTTAGCTCGGGCGTTTGCCATTTTTGAAAAATTTGTAAAAAATGACTCCAATGTTCATTTTGGTGACTAAGCGAAATAATAGAAATAATCTGTGTTCACGTTCACTTTCCCCATTGGAGTGAACAGACTCAGGAGTCAGGACCTGCCGCTTGTCTACTAAAACGACGGGGCAGTGGTGAAACCCACGAGACAGATATACAGGAAACTGTCTCTCAGTGGGTGACTCCTCTCTGAAACGTCTCTGGTTTAACGGCGTCAACTAATTTATTGAGATCCAAATCCAAAACATTATAAAAGCATCAAAAAGCACTGTGATTGTCTACCTCCAGGGTTGCTAGCTGTGTCCCCTCCATGTTGATCCTAAAGGAGTACAGGTGCTCGGGGCTGGGGTCGGGCAGAACACTGCAGCCCCCCAGGGTCACGGCTGGCTGGCTCATTTTGTTCTTGCCCTTGTCCTGGTAAAACCATAGCTGTCCGTTCTTTATAAGGCACCAGCAGGTCCGCCATTGGCTGTTCACCAACACGTTGAGGTAGCCTGACAGAGGAAAGAGAGAACATTGCTTACGTCAGAGCCAACAGAGCATTGTGATGCTGTCTTGATGACTGAAATGATACATTTTTTAAATCAGAAGGCTACGTATGGGAAAATATTGATATGTTTGGTCTGGTATAAAATAACTACACTTAGAGACCTTCACCAGACCCCCCCACCCCACCCAGCGAGGGTTGCAGTACAGACAGTAACTGTGTCAAAGGACAGGAACTGTACCTGAGTGATAATCAGTACATGCTGTGTGATTTTATAATCTAGCACGACATGTACAGTAGATCTCTGCTCACCTGAGGTGTCCACACATTTCTCTGGACTCTCCAACGACGAGGGTTTTTTCTTGCCGATGTTCATGAGGTTGCTAAACTTCAACCCGGCACCATATTTTTTCTTCACTGTTGGGGAGAAAAGATTCTCTAAACCTTTTTGTTTCGCTATCAGATACTCACAGCTGCACCATGTGCCTAAACCCACATTTTGGACCGAATGCATAGAAACAGAAAAATAAAAAGCCTCACCATCTTTGATTTCGGGAGTCTCCGCATGGCTGTCAGTGCTGCTGCTGCTCTCGGAGGCCACTGAGTATCTCTCACTCAGTTCTCCCTGAAAGTTCAGATCAACATTGTTGTCATTTAGTTGGCATATTCATCAGAAATACAATTTATGACAAAAATAAAAACTGTAACTGAGCCCTATGGCGTTGGGTAGAGCCAATCAAAAGCTCAGGTACTCTAAAGCACATACTGTATGTTCAAAGTAAGCTTACCTTTGTACAAATGAGCCTCGGGGAGTCGGAGGCGGAGTGTTGCGGGTCACAGTTTTCAGCCGGCTTGGGACTGATCTCCTGAATCACCTAATAAACAAGAAGTCGATTGGTGTCAAAATATTCAAATTCGTTCATATTTTATTTCATCACTGCAGAATTAACTTTAAAATGAGACGAATATATGATTGTAAAACACGTTTTCAGGGCCTTACCCTCAACCACTGCTCCGTCTGCTCCTTGCTCTGCAGGCCCAGCACGATGGCCTCCCCTCCCACTGGGATGACCTTCAGTTTGTGCTCTTTCTTCCTCAGCTGCTTCTCCTTGTAGACCACACTGCAGCCCAGCAGACTCACATCCAGCAGAGGCGTCTGCTCCTTGGAGCTCTTGTAGCACTGAGAGGGGCAGAGATAACACCGAGCATTATGATTGTTATCCAAATGTTTATTGATTATTGAAGCTAGCTTTAACGCACAGCTATGAGAGTTGTATTCATCTTCTGATCTAACTCTTGGAAAGGACACAAATTAGGGTATTTCCCAAAATATTTTAATATTCATTAAGGGTGAATTATTCTCATCATTCTCAGCCCAAATGAGGACACAACCATAATAGACTGTCCCACTAATGCATTTGTCTACAGGTTGATTTATTGGATTAATATTTTCCATTCTAAAAATAAGTGCCAAAACAGGGACAGCATGTGACAGCTAAGTCTCAGAGAGTTTATAATCTATTCTGAGGGTTTGCTTACCTGAATCTTTTTTTCCATGTTCAGTTACATTGAACCGCTGTAATAAACAAACCTCTGTGCCCATGACCTTAATTGTTGTAAACTAAACCTCAATGGGGCTTTAATTCAGATTTTCCCGCAATCTTTTACCCACCAGCAGGCGATGGTCTTTGATGACACACAGCTGTTTGGCCCACTGGCCCAGCCACTTCTTCCTCCACAGGAAGGCACAGATACGAGTGTCCTTCATGAGCTCAATGGACGCCTCCGCTGAAGGCCACTGGTGCTGCGCTGATGGTGACTTTTCTCTGATCACTTCCTCCTCATCGTAGGACTCGTACGAACTGCTAACGGCATCCCCATCATCTAAGGAACAGAAATCAGAGACGTGATAAGAAACTAAAACAAAGAGGCAAAGTCACAAGTGTGTGTGTGTGTGTGTGTGTGTGGCAGGGGGGCATGAGTAGCAACAACACACATTACACTGTTAAATGAACTTGAGGGACCAAATGATGAGTCAATGCCTGTCTTCTTGAACTTGATGACCTTCTTCAACAGAAGAGGATTTCCTTGCAACAGCCAGGCTGGAAATGAGCTGTTTTGATTGTATTGATGAAAGACGATGACAGGAAAAAGATATGATGAAAAGGAAAACAGCAAAATTAGTAAATTGATAAGATGGGATTGATTAATGACTATTGTCACAAGTCTTGGCTTTGAAGTTGTTTCTCCACATGCAAGACGCTGGTCATGGTGGACAATGAGGACTGAGGGCATGCTTATTGGCCCCGTGCACATGCCATACATAAACACACGCATCCAGTGATAGAGAGGTAGCTACCCCTGTTGATAACAGCGTAGACCACACTGTCAGAGCTCTGCACTCGCATCCAGGGCCCTGAGAGGAGGCCAAAACAGTCCAGATCTACACAACATCAGAGGAAACAGAGAAGAAGAAGAAGAAGAAGAAGAAGAAGGAAGCAAGATTGGGAAAAATATCCAACGCAAAAATGCCTTTAAAAATACTTGTAGAGAAAATAAATGCAAGAAAGGGAAAACTTTAAATTAGGCCTAATTAAGCTTATTATTTTAATAATTATTATTATTATACCTTTGTGAGTATGTCATAACATATCAAAATGTGTCCGGCACCTCTTAAATAATCACACATATATATATATATAGATATATATATATATACACAATTATGGCTACATTTCCCTCAAAACAAACAACAACGCACCTCAAACAAAGTTAAAGCTGAATTAGACTGATGGCATTATACACCATAATCATGTAGTGAAAATCTGATATCGTGATTTATGACAGACAATAATTAAAAGTATTGTTTATTGTTCACGTCATCGATGGTAAAATGAGGTTGTCTGAAGAACAACAACATGCTCCCTCCGGCCAATCTGCGACTCCACGACTTTGCTGTAATGATATTCAACCAACGCAGCAATTCTGAAGAAATACCTTGAGCCTTTTAGCTTTCAGCATTGCACAGAAAGTTGCCACGTTTCTCACTGTGTGAGGAGCAGAACAATTAACGTATTCACCACAGCCCAACACACTACATCACCGTCACAGCAGACCAAACCTTCTTATAGAATGTGGTCATGATGTCTCGGTGCATTATAACTTGTGTTTGCATCTTGACGTACAACTTGAAGTGCATGAAACCGAAGAAAATAGTAATAATAGTATGCACGTAAGCAAGTGCCACTATGGTGTCGGGCTATTGCCATTATGGTTAATTAACAGCTCAGAGGTTCAGGTTTTCTAAAGAACAAGAAACAAGCAGATGACTGGCCTGATGAGCTTATACAGCACACAACTCATGTGTGGTTTGGGTTAGAAAATACAGCTTCAATATACATGAGCAACATCTCATTTCTCAAGAAGGGATTACAAACTTTGTAGATACTCAAGTAATGAATCAGCTTTCCTGTGAAACAGTTATGGGGAAGAAGGAATGTAAGAAACAACTCAAGACACTTGCAGATCACAGGTGATATTATTTATTGTGTGCAAAAAAAAAAAAGAAACACAATGTTGATCCAGAGTTCTTACCATTGAAAGTTTCCTCATAGGGCTGAGCCTCCTCGTAGTAACTCTCTGAAGTGTCTATACAGGCTGGAGCCGCGACTGCAGGTAAAGGGAACGGCTCCCGACTCATCATACCCTGACGCATGAGAGAAGGATGACAGTGTGGTGAGGGAATATAACACGTAACGTTTGTTTTCAGTGATATGCCTTACAACTATAGAGCCTCCATCTAAGTACGTTCAATGAATGAGGAAGATGTCCAGGTTAACATCAATACACATTCACGCAAATAGACACGCACATTATCAACATGTGTTCTTTCCCCAGGCTGAACATGTGGCTAATCCAGCCGTCACTTCAGGAGTAAGTAGGGAATTCCTCATGTAACCAATCCTCGTCTGACCCTGTGCACTAGAGAGTTACATGCTTGCCTTCAGGGAAGAGTGTGTGTGTGTGTGTGTGTGTGTGTGTGTGTGTGTGTGTGTGTGTGTTTGTGTGTGTGGGAACGTGGAAAAGAGAGGGGTAGCATGTATTTGAATGTGTGTATGGGCCCTGTGGCTGTCCTGAAATCAATCAACAGTCTGGCTTCACTTCTGTCTTTCTTGTCATCTCCTGTGTGGTAAAGACGGTCTGTCTGCCCCTTCCCACACGCTGGAAAGCACCAGACTCTCTGCTGTTTGGCAGCTTGAGTGAGTCTCAATTCGTTTAAAATATCTCCATTACTGAAGTCAGTTAGTCAGCTACACGATCCAAAAATGTATTTTGGAGACATCTGTCATCAGTTTCTAATTTAGCCGTTATTAAGTTGACAATCTTGGAGAATTTCCTTGAATACAACCTTTAAAATGTAAAACTGCATGTTTGAATTAAAAATGCAAAAGACATGTTGGCATTTCTCGGCATCGGCTCAGCAGTGAGGAAAACATGAAACAATCTTGACTATTAAATGACAGGGTGCCTTGTGTTTCATCATCTTTTAAACAGCAACACATTGCTGATCTTCATCTTGTAGGGTGTCATGCATCCAAATGTCTGGCAATTGCTGCCAATTCTGTTCCAGTAAAAACAATGTTTCAGAGATACAGTCAGTTATTTGGAAGACAAACACAGATGTTTGTTTTTCTTTGTGAAATTGTGCCCAATGGCTATTCTGCAGCCAATTAAAAAACGATGTATTTCTATTCTTTAAACCCACTTTCCCCCAATTAAGTTCCTGGTTTGCAGTTTGTTTAGAGGTCACACTAGAATCACATCATCAGGTGTTTATATTAAAGACATTGAACGCTCACTTTTTGACTCAAACTGACACAGTATGTTGAAACAGAAACTTCCCTCCAGTTGGAATTTCTTCTTTTATTTCCCCAACTTGTGACAACAGCTCTCCAGCTATCTTATCTATGGTGCCAAGCATGAATATGGGAGATATGCGAGTTGTGTCTTGGTACATACTAGAACTAAGACCAGCAGCTGCCAGTGAAGATGAAATCTGTGCATTCTTTCCAGTCTAAAGACAACATTATGACACACAGAGATCGATGATGGAGACGGAAGCCCAGGATTCTTCTGAGGCCAAAGAAGAACTTGTTACGGTACAGGTATCCGCCCCTCTTACAGATTATTATGTGAAATGATTTCATCTATTCTGTTAAAAACCTGAAGGAAAAGTCACCATGAGTCACCATGCTGCAGAAGTCTGATGTTGCTGAATATACTTTAAAAAAGTTTTTCTCAAGTGAACTCTGTGAAACCCTACGAGTTGAATGACAACAAGCGATTTCTTAACGATGTCTAATGTTTCCTCCCGCCACTGATCTGAACACGCTGTCTGTATTCCTTCATATTCACTGTGTTTCCCCAAAGGCTGACACAGAAATATGAAATATAACCCTGAAGCAGAGGAGCTTGCATTCATCGTGCAAAGCGTGCCTGAGGGAGGCTGGCTCTGTGGATCAGATCAAAGTTTTAGATCAGTGTTTAATTAAGGGTCGATATCAGTTGGTCAAAGCTGCTTCCCTTCAATGTTTGATACAGCAAAAGCTATTCCCTTCCTGCAATACTTTGGGAGTTTGATGATGTTTAGTGTGTAGCTATGCTTGCAAATTAAAGAGAAAATAGGCAGTAATATCTTGTGTTTGGTAGTTACCAACCTGGGGCAGTAAAGTGGTAATAGAGTTACTGCTTCAGCTTAGATTTACAGACCAACAAAATACTAAAAAACAAATCTGTTTGTCTAAAAACCACAACATCATCATTTCTGAGGTGTGCTGTAATAGACAGTAAACTGGGAATTCCCTGCTTGTGAGCTCCTTTCCCACCATATCTAACACATTTCCAGTAATTCGTAGCAGATGCAGTAAGCTGTCATAATAACTGGCCTCGTGTCACGGTGCTCATTCAATCACAGTGATGACGATTTGCTTGTGCGATTAGCCTGCATGCGTGGAGGAAAGGATCCCAAAGAAATGAGTGGGAGGGAGATGTTATCACTGCGGTTTAATGAGAGAACATCAGCTATTTGTTATGAAGACCTTTCAAGTATCAGCAAATACTAATGTCAGAATGTAATATCAGTTTCAGTTTTCTCTCTTGAAAAGGATGCAATGTCAAGCAAACATTAAAAAAACGCATTTCCCTGGGTTAGAGCATACTTAACATTATCGGTGTAACTAATAACACTAAAAAAGGCTGCATTACGTTTAGGTGTGCCAGTACCAAAGCCTTAGTTTGGTGCATACTGGCTCACTGGTGCACCAACAGTTAAGTGGAGTAGAGCCATTGTTATTAATATCAGTTACACCTTTAATAAGCCAGAATGTCTGCCATGAGAAACGTCGATACTTTATACTGCTGTATTTATATTCAGGCCTCTCAGCTAATGGGATGCATAGATAGAGCCTTTTAGCACCACAAAACAAAGAAGCCTACACATAAATACTGTAAATACGCTAAAGGGACATTAGGGCTTAATTGGCTTTTTCAGACAGAGGGCTAAGATGGACGATGCCACGAATCACAGTGGAGAGTGGACTTAAGCCAGTTTCACAATGATAGAACTAAACAAGTCTTCGGGTCAAGGGATCCAATAAAATATAACACAATACTTGTTTTTGGTCATAGAGCACTTTTTTGATGATACAGTAATTCATTGAAATTATAAACTAACTAAACGAATATAAGGAATAGGATATGTTGTGTCAATTTGTGTGTTTTGATATGACCAAAAACTAGACTTATTTGAACGACCATTAAAGAGATCTTTGAGATTATATGACCTCAAAAGTAAGAAAAAACGGCCACAAACGCTCAAGAGCGGACAGGAACTTAAAAAGAAAAAGTGATTCCTCTGAGAAAAAGACTGTAAAGTATTAGTGAACACACACAACAGCACTGACAGTGTAAACTGCTCCGCGGTGAAAAAAACAGCAGTTCAGGCATCTGTTATTAATTAAAACAAAGAGCCAGGCATTCCAGAGCAGCAGCAGCCCCCCCGACCACCAACCCACCCTTATCTCTATCTTCTTTCTTTTTCACTCATCTCCAAAAAAAACAAATCTGCCTCTTGTTTGGTCCAAGGCTAAAGAGTACGGTGAGCCATTCCTCAGACCAGCTGGATTGATATCAAACATGCCAGGTGTGTGTTTCTTAGTGTATTTTTTATTTATTTTTGTCCCAGAAGACTCTGCAATCACTCCAACTCTCTAATAGTCCCTTTAATCCCTTCCTTTCACTTCTCACACTCACATAGACACACACACACACACACACACCCTAACCACAGAAACATCGTGTAGAAGGAATGGATTGAGGAGTCAGAGCATAAATAACAAAGTAAGGAGAGGGGGCGGCAGAGGAGGAGGAATCGGGGTGTGGTGGTGGGGCTTTGAGTAAAGAGTGGGAAAAAGAGCCCAAAAAACGAACAGTCAGAGGAACATGGAAAATCCCTGGTTCCCATGCCAAGAATCCAGCAGAGCGAAAACACACACACACACACACACACACACACACACACACACACACACACAGACACACAGAGTGTATCCGAGAGCCTGCTGGGAGCTGAGAGCAGAGGAGAAGGTAGTGATAAAAATAATCAGCTTTGGAAAGTCAGATTCAGGAGAACTCTTGGGGCCTCTGCTGTCTCTCCACCACTTGTAGTATATGTTTAGTTTGAAGTACTTCTGTACGATGAAAAGTATTCTAAATATTTAATTAAAGCATGAATGAAAATGGGAAAAAAAAAATCCAGAAAGAAAAATCACATGACATATATATTGCACATGCTGTATTTATTTTCCCATTATTTTGTCTTCTTGGGAACACTTTAACCTCCTCTACACCGGATTTTGTCTGGATGTTTATGAACAAAAAAATGTCTGACCATAAATAAAGAAAATACACATGTATAAAACTGAAACAGTCATGTGACTTAAAGGGATTTAAAGGGGCACTGCTGGCAGATAACGTAAACATGAATAATTTAGCAAACACTCATGTTAGCCATTTATATTGCAGGTATGATAATCCCCAGTTGCCTGCAGCCACATTACCGCTTAGTGTGCATGCCAACAGTTTTCCTTTCCCTGCGTGACGCTTGCGAGTGGCACAGCTGCTATCTATAGTCCAACTCTATTTTCAGACCATGCAGACAGGACGCAATGGAAGTCTCACAAACCTTTATTTACACGCCGGTTCTGGGGGAAAAATGGCTGCAGTACTACACCCGAGTCGCATGCTGCATTGTCACTTGAGAGCCTGTTTTAGGAAGAGAACAGACCCGGCGTTTAAGAGATCATGGAAGTGCCTGAAGGCCTGGGACTCAACCAGGATTTACATGCAGAGAATGCGACCCTTGATCTGGAGGACGGAGAGCACCAGGCGGGCTGGGTGAGAGTGAGGGTGGAGGATAGCTGGTTCACTGTGCAGCGGGCTTTGCTGGCAAGGTACAGCAACTACTTCTGTGCCCTCTTTCACTCTGGGATGACAGAAAGTCACCAGGACGAGCTCTACCTGAAGGGAGGAGTGCGAGCAAGGGGTTTCCTCGTCGCCCTCGCTGTCTGCAGGGGGGAGGCCCCCTCTATCAGCGACCCGGATGAGCTCGTAGAAGCGGTAGAGTGTGCCGCGTTCCTGCAGGTTGCGTGTTTGGTGCAGCATCTTTGTGACATCATTGACTCGGACAACTGCCTCTTGCTGTACCATGCAGCCTCCATCTTTGGGGCGCATGCACTCTTTCACAATGCTGCTCTTTTCCTCTGCGATGCTTTTGATGATTTGAAGGAAGCAGCTGAGAGTACGATTCCCGAAGACCTTCTTCAATATTCTCAGTCATTGTCTCCTGCTACTTATGTTGCTATAGGCACACACTCTCCTTCAATGGAACTGCTACAGGACTCCTTTCGGGTCATTTGCTACCTTGATGAAAAAGAGGGAGACTGGAAGCATCTGACAAACCTCCCAACTCTCTGTAGCACCTCCATGGCTGGAGTGGCAGTGCTTGACAACCGATTGTACATTGTAGGGGGAGTTTATGGTTACGGTAAGGACACAGTGGACAGTAGCTTTTGCTACGACCCTGACTCAGGAGTTTGGAACACTCTTCCAGGTCCTCAGCAACTAAGATATGACTTCACCCTGCTGGGGCACGAGGGCCGGCTCTACGCCATTGGGGGCGAATTCCAAAAACGGACGATTTCCACAGCAGAGAGTTACAACATTGAGAAAGGAGAGTGGACATTTATACAAAATGCACCGAGACCTGTAGCATCTGCAGCTTGTGCTGTTGCAAGACGGCGGATATTTGTTTGCTTCTGGAAACCACCAGACACCACAGATATCTACGAATACATACCAGTGAAGGACGAGTGGAAACTTGCGACCACCATGATCAAATCTCAAAGCTATGGCCACTGTATGGTAGCCCACAGAGATAATCTTTATGTGATGCGCAACGGGCCTTCTGACGACTTCCTGCGCTGTCTAATGGACTGCTACAACATCACGACAGGCCAGTGGACAGCCATGCCCGGACAATACATCAACAGCAAGGGGGCGCTCTTCTCCGCAGTGATAAAGGGGGACTCCGTGTTCACCGTGAAACACATGCTAACTCTTGAATACACCATCACCGGGGATGGATGGAAGCCCCGCAGGCAGATGAAAGGGTTTCCAAAGAGTGGTTCGCTGTGGACGTGTTTACTCAGGCTTCCCAAGACGGGACCAGTTCTACCACAGCTGGATGCAGAAGGGGAGGAAGAAGAAATGTCTTTACCAGACAAATCGGAGGGATTTGTGGAAGCTCTCATGCAAATGTGATATTACTGCTAAAAAAAGCATTGTTTTGTTTTTTTGAGGAAGGGGAATGGAATTATATACAACATGCAACAAGCCCTGTAGAGTCTGCAGCTTTTTCTGTTGCAAGAAGGCGGATGTTTGTTTGCTTCTGGAAACCACAGATATCTACATAGCAGTGAAAGACGAGTGGAAACAATGTTTTGTTTTTTAGGGTTTCTGAGCTACAATACGAGTCTGAGAATAGAAAACTAATAATAATACTGACACTAAACGATTCTGATTGCATAGCGACTCTTCGTTTCCATGCATTTACTTTCACACGCGCTCACACACACATGCACATGTGCTGACACTACGCATTTGTTCTGATTAGCAACAGCTGCCACTGTAGTTTATATTAGGGGAGGCCACTGTGCATGTGTGTGTGTGTGTGTGTGCAAGGTTCAAAGGCTCTGACGGGATGTTCTAAACCTCTCATTCTCTACGTTTTTCCTGAAGTCACACTGGGCCAATTCAGGAGCCACCGGCCTCCCAGTCGACATGAAACACCACAGCCCTCGCACACACTCTTGGATACCGTCTTCCTCAGGTTTTCTGGCCCATGACTGATTAAATGCCTGTTTCTGTGGGAGAATAGATTTCACATAGTCGCGAGCTTGTGACTCTGAGGGTTGTGGGAAATGTTTTTGGCTTGTATGACCACAGACTGCATTTGTTTTAGTATATTAAAAACCAAATAAAATTCTCTGGCAGCATGTGATATCAATTCCCTTTGTATTCAATACTTACGATGCTCAGTGATAATACTGTTCTTACTGTGACAAAAGACCAAAATACTGTCAATTACATTTAAAGTCGAAAATGTGTCTTTGGGCTCCTTTTGCATACCGTTGAAAATCACATTTTCCACTGAACTTTCCCACGTACTTTGTTGAGTTCAGTAGTCCGATTGGGGTCAATGATGCTATTACCATTCCCACCACAGTGGCAGAGGATCAACAAATCTAATCATTTCACATGTTAATTCATTCTGATGCAAACAAACTGGTAGTCACTTACTGCTCTGAGGGGTGGCAGGTTGGGAAGGCTCTTCTGTGGAACAGGTACATATTTTGCTGCTTTTCCATTGACCAGGGCATCTGATCTGTCATCTGGGTCAACAAAGTACACAGAGGGACCTCAGTAAATAACTACATATTAGCTAAACAACAGAATTCTGTCCATTTTTGATTCAACACTATTTCCAGATGTCCAGATTGTCTCCTGTACATATCAGCGCTTCCTGCTAAGCCGAACCCCCGTGGTGAGAACGCCTTCATTGTCAAATTACAGTAACCGCACAACCCAAATCAATGGGGAGCATTTGTATGGTCGCAACAACCCTACTGTGCAAAACACACACCACAATACTAGATTAAGAAGAGTGTTTGCATAAGACATTTAAGAATTATGGTTCTCATTGGATTTGCCATTCCATTAACAATGACCAGCGTTTAAATGTACTTGTGGTTCGCAACCTTTCTCACAATGTCAGGGGAAATGGCAAACTCATTATGTTAATAATCACTGAGCTTTAGTGGTGCTGGTTAGCATATGTTGTTGCCTTTGGAGGAAGTCAGGCGAGTAGTCTTCCCTAGCTGTCAGTCTGTCTGCTAAGCTAAGCTAAAGTTCAACTAGCTTAGACTGTAGCTCGGACCCCTGCAGGTTGGGATGATGAGCATATAAATGTCAATACTATTGTCTAGGACCAATGGGTCTTCGACACAGTCACTTTAAACTCTTTTTTAACATCGTCTTCTACAGAACATCCTCAAGCACTTTCGACCTGATGAGTTTGTGGCTTCGTTGCTCAGCATCTTTGTCTTGCACTTCATCTGAAAAAGACAGTTCCGGTTTACCACAGGATCAATGATTAAAAAGCCCCCACATACTGTAGCTATCTCGGCCCCCACTTTCCTTCAGTCTCTGTGACAGAAAACTTGCGGCTTTGCTAGCGTCGCTGCTGAAAATATGTGTGTTAAGTCTAGTGCTCACTGAAACCACATTCTTCAACACTGTCCAAACAAAACAGGTCAGTCTCAGATGTTGAAGAGCTACGCAGAAACAGACAGGAAATGGTGAGGGGAGGGGAGCTGAGGGGGGCTGCTGCTTGTGGCAGCTTGTTCTCATATCTGCTATTCACTTGAATCATGTCAAATTAAGGAGTATAAGATGCAATGACATGACAAATATGCACTGGTGTTTGAGCGACTTGGACAACCTCAAAATATCATAGTATAGTGCATAATATTGAGGATATGATGAGAATATGACTAATTAGGAAATATGGCCTTGACCTACACCTAAAGTTAAAAATAACTTTGTAATAACTGTCTTCTAATGTTACTATGAGTCTACAGCCATGCCAGTGGCTCTGTGAGGCTGTTCTTTGAGCTAAATGCTAACATCAGCATGCAACATGCTGATATTTAGCAGGCATGAGTGTCTTGGACAAAGTATTGGACAAATTGTAATTTTGACCTGCTGGTTTCACAAGTTGCACCATGCAACATGTCTGCAACATGTCTGCACCATTGAATCTGTAGTAAATTTCGTGGTAATCCATCCAGTAGTTGTTATAATAGTACAGTCTGGACTAAAGTGGTGATGCGACTGACATTATCCTCCATAGAGCCGCTGTATTATCACATTATCCCTTGTTTTCAATAGTAAACATAAAATCCTTTTCTTAATAGATTATATTTCAGCAACTTCTCACAGGTGTGAGATATTTTGAAACTCACACCTTTACCACCTGTTTCCAGTCTCTTTAAAACTCACACCTTTGCAGCCTTTGTCCTTACCGGTAACACTGACTTTGTTCATGTAGATATACTCTTCATCAGCACCTGCACAGAGACAACAGAGTGTGGTTAATGGTTGACATCACAACACTTCTGCAGTTTTACATTGTGCGTAGCTACCACAAACACTAACATTGTGTTATACTGAAGAAGCCATTTGAATACAGCTCGACAAAACACCATGTACCGTAGTAAAGAATTACAGTATTCAGGCAAATGTTCTGCATTTGATTATGATAATAAAAGGAAAAAGGTGGATGTGTAAAAGATGAATGGAACTATCCAAAGTAACCCATGCACAGTTATTCTATACTGTAAATTGAATGAAACTAATGTTATTAAGATACTTTTCATTGAATTAAGATTTTAAAAAATCTGACACTTCATTTCTTTGTTGAAAGTTGTTCTACACTTCAGTAGAATGAAGACCTCTTCATATACTGTACACAAGTTATTTAACTGTATGTAATCATATGAAGAGCATGCACATTTGTTGTCGCTCTGATGAGAAAAACCTGACTCCACCTTAGTGCCAAACAATCTTTCATCATGTTTGTCAAACGTCCAGGATAAAAAGGGGGAACTTGACCCAAACAAGTGGGCTATTGTGTGGACAGATGGGCCCATTATTGACACCCACTCTCACCGTGGCTGGCATTCATCGAACATTAGTCAGAAAAGTCCCTGCCTGCACAGATAGGGCACTGTGTCACTTCTATCTTTGAAGATATACATACGATGGACCTCTTGAACTTGGTCCATGTGCTAAGACATTATAACCAAAAGTATGGTTGGGGTTGGGGAAATCATACTTCCACTCAGTTTCTGCATGGAATTCATCTTCACAAACAAAGATTGGGACAGCAGTTTCTTTTCAGTTTTTGGTTATACAAGCATAAAAAGTCAGAAAGCCAGAAAGAGTAGTATTTGATTAAATTGAAAATAAGAAAATATTCAAACTGAATATGGTTTCCTGTGAGGACAACAAAAAAACAGTGATTAGGAAGCGCTTCACATGGTGAGCAGTTAAACGCCGGACAATTAATTAGGGCTGTCACTTGAGACTGACCTGACTTCTCCTAGCACTAAAACGTAAATATTTACGAGTCAGTGTGAGCAACGGTATCATTTAGGCAATAAGCGGAGATGATGAAACCTCATGTCATACACCAATGCTGAAGTCAGCTCAGTGAGAAAAGCACTGTGTTTTGTTTGACGTCGGTCTTAGCATGGTGGAGTAATTACAAGCTGGCGAAAACGTCGCCATGACATTGCCACATAAACAGTTTGAATGAATGTCTTTTCTCAGACAATAAACCCTGTGGTTTCGGGGTAGAAGGCTCCAGCTGGCCACTGTAACCTGTTATGGAAATTTGTTCCGGAGCTGCAGCAAAGTTTTGAGGAAGGCTGTTTCATTGAATTAAATATTTCAGCTGACTAAGAATATACCCTGAGAGAAAATCAAACAAAACTCTAACCTTGGGTGATCCTCTAGAGAAGCTTTCTCCTTTGAAATCGATATCGCTAGGTGAAACCAAACAACAGCAGATTGAAACTATGTTTTGCCTGCACAGTGAAAACAGATTTTCGGGGAACAGAGTTGAAATGCTATTTATAAGCTGCTGCTCAAAGGAAGTGTGCGTCCCCAGAGGATAAATGCAGCTTCGGAAAAATGATACAGCTTGGAGCCAGGAGAGGAAGTACGGAGAGACGAGTCCAGGACCTGAACATGGAAAAGCGTGACTGCTGGTGTGTGTGTGTGTGTTGGTGAGCGGTTGCGTGTGTCAGTGTGTGAGAGGCAGAGAAAGACAGGGAGGGAGTAGCAAAGCTCATGCTAACTTTTTCAATCCAAAAGTGACATCGAATGTAACATAATTGGGTCAAAAGTTCCCAGCATACTGTTAGAAAGATTAGCTTAAAACAAGGATTTTTACAGTCTAATGTTTTCATAGCTTAAGTATCACACAAAAGCTAAGACTTCTGAATGAGCAGAGTCATTCATTATTCCCAACTAGTCACACACCTTGGGGCTGAGGCTCGGCTAAGGCTCAGTGTAGCACTGGCTCACAATTGTGAATTGTACCATAAATAACACCAGCACAACAGCAGTCACCATATCTTCATGTTGAGTGTCAGACCCAGTGAGCAAGAACAACAAACTTGTCTTTAGCTGTTTGACAGGATACGTTAACGGGCCATGCATCATTTCCTGATGAAGCAATAGGCACTTTGATTATATCTGGCTTGTAAAGACAAAACTGAAATATCCACAACATAAAAAACGTCAATCCGATTATTTTGCAAGGGAAGTAGAAATGCAGGCAAAAAATATTGAATTCAGCCACCACAGTGTGGTTATCAGCCACCAAAATGGGATAAAAGACCCCAAATGTATTTGTTAATGAAAGCATGCAAGAGCATAATTATTACATGGTGGTTACTGAGAGTCTAAAATAATACCAGAGTGGGTTGCTCGATAGATGACAATCTAACCTCATTGCATTGTGGGAAAAGCAGGGCTTGACCACATGTTACATAAGGCACTTTGCATAAAGGCAGACTAACTGCTTGTCAAAAGCTTTTGAATGAACAATGTTTAAAGAGTTGTGGTTAGACCTCAACCAATGTAACTGTCATGTCATCACAAATACCACGCCATGAAAAAATATAAATCAGGAACACTGAGGAAATGTTTCAGACTACTTAACTATTTTTTACAAGCAATGGCTCTCATGGAAATATCCTTCAACTTGATACCCCTATGTACCAAGTCTAACATGCTACCCGCCTTAATCAATAAAATAGTGCCATCTCATATTTCTTGGAGCTGGAAGTCTACAGTAACTCTAAGACATACATGATCTACAGGTATGCACTCCTCATAGTTTACTGACTGATCTGTTGAGCTCTGGTTGATTCAGACGCTTTCCTCAATGAAATGTTTACAAAACTAAGCCAGTGAGCCTATTGGTCAAAATCCTGTTTGATGAAAATAAGTGCTCTACTGTAAGTACTGTATATCTACTACAGTATTTCCTTCATACCATTGGATGCTCTGTAGGACTGGAGGAGATCAGAGAGCAAGCCCTTGTGGATGGTGGCGTTCCCACTCAGGGTCTCCTTGTCCAGGATGAGCAGGAATCGGTGGAGCTCCATCAGGAGCTGGTCCAGCACTGCAAGCACAGACAGACAAGACGGTCTCAGAGGTACATCAAAAATAAAATCACTCGCTAAAGACTGTTACACATTTCTTGGCGGGATAATATTTGGGAGTATTAAAACAATGGCTTTGGACCAGAACTGTGGCAGTTCCCATCAGCAAGAAAGAGAGGAGCTGAGAGCAATATAAATCCTGGGACATTTCCAGGCAGAATACTATACTTTAATTCATGGAGAACAGGGAGTTAAACTCAATGACTTGTCTCTTAACACTGAATTCAGCTGCAAGTTTGTTAGTTATTCCATTCTCACTGCTGGGCCTTTGCGCCTTAAGCTAGGCCAACATTTAACATGGGAGAGACTCTTCAGAGGTTTTGAGCTGGCAACGAGTCGATAACCATTCAGACTTTATGTCATTCACTCATTACTCTCATCCAGTTGCTATTGTCAGCTACAAATCTGTTTGACGTTGTTTTGGTAGTTGCATGGGTTTAGTGAAAGGTCAAGTCCAGAGGAGGGAGGAGTGTGGGCCTGGAGTCGGCAGGGCCTCTGTGTCTGGGTGCAGCCCACACACATCCTTCAGGGGTCATCGCTGAGCTCACAGCCCTCTCCACCGTGTGGGGAGCTCTTTGTGCTTCCCTTCACTGTCTCTTGGCCTCATGAATAGACCCCATGCTACAGTGGGTCTCAGTGTGAGCACTTCACCAAAATAAGAGACAGAAAGGGGATAAAGAAGGGAGACTTTATTAAAGGATAAGGTGGGGCTAATATCAAAGGGGATGTCATACTGTTCTTAGATACTGGAATGTCCAAAGTTTCCTTCGATCAGCAGTGTATGATAGTAGGCTACTGTATACTGAGTAATTTGGCTAAATATTTATAAATCCCTTAATTCGTCTAATTCACTTTTTGAACTAAACTTAAAAACAAGTCAAAAACTCACCTAAACTCTGACACAGTAGCATCCAGGATGCTAAATTATGAATCCTGCTATGGCGAAGGCATGACTTGCCTTACTCCATCTCTGATTGGCTAGTAGGCTACCTGCTACTATCCAATTAGAGGTAAAATGCTTCTTGGCCTTGGAGATAACGTCGGGTGAGGTTAGCCAACTACCGCCGGAAGCTAGTTAGCTGGACATGCTAATGTTTGTTGCTCAAGTCGGAGCAGACAAACATTTTGCGTAACCCTGTCTGTGAGTACACATAGCATAGCACATAGCACTGATAATTCTATACAGCTATTTTGGACATTACATTAACTCATACATACTAATAAAACAACTGAAACACATAACTGGACACATAACTAGTAAGTCAGGACATGAGTCTTTGTACCCATGACAATCAAACAGCTGTAACTAAAACTGAAATCAAACAAAATTAAAACTAAAAACAAAACTGCCAATATGTCAAAAACATCGGACTCTACTCATGAACTCTACTCCATATAAATTAAATAATCATAATCACAAACAGCACAAATCTCACAACTATTATAAAGAGAGTAAACTTCTCATTTGAACTCTTTTAAAACAGTCAGCTACTCTATTTTAGAGGCTCCTTCTGGCTCATACAGATCACTAACCGGGCCTTGCGGGGGAAGTACATTCATGCCCTCTCCCCTCCTTCCTACACTCCCACACATCTAAGGACCAAAGCTGGGTGAATTTCTGCAAAATAAGGTGTCAGAACACGGTACGCTTTGCCCCTCGGAGATGACGAGAGGCTTTCCCAAAGCTACAGCAAGCTGGGCTGTTTTTAATGACTCCTACTCAAGCTGAGTCAACGTCTGCTGAGAGGCCCCGTGTTAGGAGGACCTGCACCATGGAAAACATCACTCACTCACACACACACACACACACACACACACACACACACACACACACACACATATGGGCATGTAAAGTAATTAAAGTTATATGTTACTATAATGATCAAAACCTTTCATTACATTTCCAGTAATTGTTTAGCTGCTGATGTCTGCCTGCACAGTATGAATCTAAACATTTTTCCAGCTTCTCCTCATTGTGTGTTTGCAGAGATTGACTCTGATGGCCTTTTGGATTGGAGGACCCTGGGAAACAGAGTCAGCTGACAGGACAGGGAGGTCTGTAGCAGGCAGTCTCTGTGGGCTACGGGCTGGCCAGACGCCCACTGAACATCCAGTGAGTGACCGCAGCATAAACGATTCACTTCTGTAGAATGGCCAAAAGGAATCTGAGACACCATCAGCCAGCCAAAGCGCTACAGTGTTTTCATTTCAAGAAATATATGTCTGGGATGCAACTAAACAAAGTAAAAAGGCAGGTAAGAATGTAATAAAGAGAACACTTAACGTCATAAAGTTTGAGTCAATAATCAGTTGATTTGAGAAATTACAACATCAAGCATTAGGGGAATTTCTCTTCCTCACGCCTGAGGTTGTACTTCCTACTTTGCTACTAGAAAGGTTTTTGTTTGAATTCTCTCACACAAAGACGTCTACTCATTTTGTGTTTGATATAGTGCACTAATAAGTTGGCAGATCAGTAAGGTGTATGCGTAATGCGTGATTAGGAAGACAGAAGTATGAAACTGAAAAGGAACTACTAATATTGGACTGTTGCTGTTATTTTGGATGTAAAACAATGACACACTGGCTGAGGTTTTAGTGGAATCCACCATGATACTACAACATTATAAAAGCAAAAAGATCAGATCAAAGACTATATATAACAAATATTTCCTGCAATATTAGTTGTGATCTACTGAAGTCTTTTATCAGTGCTGGCCTCCATCTGTTTACGTTGTCTGACCCTGACTGTGGTCAATAAAACAACAGGATCATTCTTTCAATTCGGCGGACATCTTTTTTGCTAGACCAAAAATAACAAACATAATGTCTTTGCATGCATGTCTGTCTGTGCTTTTATCTGTGCATCTGGACTGCAAATGATACTTCTTTTTAATCTTTAACAATCTTCAAGCACAGCTGCTAACCTCCTGTCTGTCAAGGAGATGACAACAAGGTCTCACTAAGAACCAAAACTTACTGAAACAAGCCCCAAATTTGGTCAGCAAATGAAATAAACAGGAAATAGACTGCATTCACAAAGTCCATGTCAAAATAATTTCTCAATAAAGGCTTTTCATTCAAAGACGAGAGGAATGAACTTGGGTCTGTACCACCATTCTCCTTGTTAAATTTAAACATGTCTTCTGCAACAAGAGGGTCTTGTCAGGATTCTGGCAGCATTTCGTATTCTGAGGGGCTTGAGGTCCAGCATCAACACTGACGGGCCACATCTTCATTTCATTAAATGAACGAGGCAGGCATGGCCTCTCATTTCAATCGGACTGCTTCCAGGTTAAATGGGGTTTGCTGATATACTTCTACTACCTGGTCGGATCAGTGGGAAAACATGCTGGCGAATATAATCTGACAAGAATCTAATTAGCTTTCCCTCACAACAGCAATAAGTACCTACAGTATACTGAATGATAATGAGTGTTTGGAATGGCACTTCAGCCCTGAAAAGAGTCAGGTCTTTCTCTTGTGCTCAGTTGAGCTTTGAACTTGTGACTTGAATGAATCAGTAGCATGTTCACAAAACCCATAAGATGTCGTCCAAGTCATTTAAAAGGCAAAAACAAACACAAATCTGTGTAACTGGTGTGTACTTCTACCTTTTATCTGTTTTTCTCATTTCAAAAATCGAATTGGCTCAATTTCCATGTTTTCACTCATCTTTACATCATCTTCCTCCATCTGTCTTACTTTCAAAACAACTCCAGCATGTAAATTCATGCTCCAGGAAATATCCAGTTTTTTACTGATGCAATATTCGTGCTGTTTTCAAGCATGTTTATGCATTTCATTAATGATAAAACAACTCCTTCTTACAATGTATTAATGTTTGTCTTATAGCTAATCCAGCAAATGTTATGTTGTATGAGGGCACACTATTTAAATATGATATTATTATTCTGAAAACGATGCTGACGTTGCATTGGCAACATACAACCTACAAATCACTACAGTGTTTACTTTAATATGTTGAAGGGACTCAACAATATGTTTTAATATGTTTGGGTTATTGACCAAATTAAAATATGGTTATTTTGACCCAGTGTCAGACATAAAAAGCTCAAGTTTTGCCATAAAGCTGTTACATATTTACTGCTAGTTCAAAAAACAATGTGCATACGATATTAACAACAATCAGTAACAAATAGTGACATTGAAATTAAAGAAAAAACTGGAGTAGATTATAACAGGTCGTGATTATATCATATTTTATTTAAAGTAGGGTCAATAAATAACCCAACAGCGACATCAAAAAATTAAGACAAACATTGTCTTGTTTGGTAGAAAATACACTTACATAATTCCATGTTCAAAGAAACCAATGATTGGTAGATGCAGTCCACCAAAGTTACATCAAATGGCACCCAGCACCCAGTCTATCTAGTGTCATTTTGTGACTAACAATGACAGAGATCCAAGTTCACCTAAAAGGGAAGTGGTGGAAAGAAGGAGAATTGCAACCAGTGACCAAACATTGACATTGAAACGTTTATACGCCAACAGATTCAAGCTGTTTCTGCTTCAGGAAAGAAAACTGACTGAAGCACAGCAGATTTGTTTCTTATCATTTGACTCTTACGCACCAAACTTCCAAGGACCCGAATGACCGTCGGGTCAGTTTCAATGCAATACAACAGAGAGAAGGGGCCATGTATGATTGGTTTGTTCCAGCCCGGCCTGGCTCTGCTGAGTGTGGCAGATAATTGGCTGATGGCAAGGCCCAAAAAGAGGACAAAACACTGATTTGATCGCTATCGACAGACGCTGGTCTGTCTCCATGCAACACAGCTGTGAGGCAGTGACATACGTGGACACAGCTGGATTAATCCAAGCTGTGTTTTGGTGTTATTGCCGTAGAAACCTGAATAAAAAAAAGCGGGGTGTCAGCTTGATGACCTCAGAAGGGGCTGCCTGTGTCTGATAGCAGCACTGAAGGAACTTTGGA